CTTCTATAGCATTATCAACGGCGGAGGCAGAATATGTAGCAGGAGCACAGGCCGTGAGTGAAATAATTTATATCAAAGGAGTCTTGTCTGATCTCAATTTAAATGCAAATGATATTCATTCCTGCTTGTTAATTGATAATCAAAGTGCAATAAAAATAATTGAAAATAATATGAACAGTAAGGTTTCAAAACATATAGATATTAAGTACCATTTTATTAAAGATATTGTAAACAAAAAAATTGTAAAACTATCATATATTCCTACAACTGAAAACATTGCAGACATTTTAACAAAAGCACTGTCCTATGCAAAGCATTCTTATTTCATAGAAAAACTTAATATTAAGTAAATTTAATAATATTTGTATAAGTAAAGAAAGATTTAAAAGGTTTTGTATAAAAAAAAAATATATATATATATATATATATATATTTTAATTATAGGTAGGTATTTAAAGTTTGTAACAAGATTTAGCATAACTTTGTTACAATGTGATTCTGTAACATTTGTTGTATTATATCTGAGGTACCCTGTTTCTTTCTGTAGCAAGTTATACAACTTTTGTTATAAAACTTGAGAGGGTGTGTTAAGATAATAGATAATTATTAGTCTTTGGCTGAATCATTCAGCCTGAATGTGAAGATTCCGTAGCCTCGATAAAAACTGTATATTTAGGTCTGTGTCTAATATGAAAATAAAATGGCGTGACCGATATTATTGTGTTATTAATTATTTATATAATCTTAATTAATCTGGGCTCAAAAGCTATGTTCAATAAAGTTCCACAAAATGTAATTGACCTACCCATAAATAAATTTTAAATTCATGTAAAGAATATACTTGTGAGTAAAGGCTATTATAAAGTTGATGATTACTTTAAGGATCGCAATGCATGGAATTAATAGCCTTCGCTTTGTTCTATAAAGACTAATTATATTTTCAACTTATGTCCTACAGACTTTGAAAGTTGTATTTACTATTGTGATAAATTGATAATACATATTATTTTGGTAATTACATGATTTATGTAAATGTCATTACTTATGATAAAAAGCTGATAAGTTTCTTTCGCTTGTTCTTCTTGTCAGCTAAAAGACGTCCTGAACAAGTGGTAGGGGAAAAAAGTTTTTTGGACGATTCAAAAGTGCTTGTAATAACCTACTTGAATAAAGATATTTTCATTTCATTTCATTTCAATGTTAAATGGTCTCCGACCTTTCTAACACATGGAGCAAAACTTTTGTCTTATTTGTTATCCTTTTAATTATAACAATATCGAACCACAGTTTAGAAAATAATGTTTTAGGATTGGACAAAAAGATAATTTTACCAGTTGCAGTAAAATCAAATAAAAGTAAACGCTTGAACTTCTGGAGGTTGTCTTGCTAACGTATGTTTGTTCATAATTGTTTAGCATCTGTGGTGATGAGTCAATGATTTCATAGTGTTGAAATTTCGCCAATCGGCCTCCACTTTTGTTTGAACACACATTTGTTAATCTGTAATGTCAAGGCCTTGATTGTTCGAAAGGTCTATGACTATAGAAAAATAAGACGAAGCGTGCATTCCCCAGCTTTTTATTTAAAAAAAGAAGCAGAAATATTTTTATTTATTAACAAATAAGGTTTCAACTCACTATTTTTAAATATACAAAATAATATTCATCGCAGTAATATTTTTTTTTAATACCTAAGTTAATAATAGTTTAATTGCTTTTACAGTAACAAAAATAACTTTAATTTGTAATATTTTGAATGACAAATTGATCAAATATAAATAATTATAACAAATTTTCATCTCAATTGAATGTTTAAAATATTGTGTTGAATTTGTGTGGGTTGCCTGGACATTGATAAAAGTACGCTCACTAGTAGCGAAAAGTAATAAGTGTGGAAGGTCGTGGGTTCGTGTGTTTACGTGGATTTTAAGAAAATATTTAATTTGTAAGTTTGTAACGGTGTGTCGCACCACCGTTTATTTCGTCCTAGGTTTCCGAATGCAAACTTTTTGTCTTTAATCTTCAACAACATTTATTTTTATTATTCACTGTTTGTAATTTGAAATTTTGAGCAATCCAATATGCTCTTTATGAATGTCCGTTTGTGGAAATTCATCGAATTAGAAACACAATTTCAATCAATAGCAATTTGTTGTAAAAAAGTGTTAAAATCTATTTATTACCACCTTTTCCCGTTATGCTTAGGAGTTTTTTTACGAGTTCAATAAAAACATATACTATATCAAATCAAATATAATAAAGTTAAATAACTCACTAAACCCGAAGAAAATATTACATAATATAGGTATAAGATAATATAGGTTTTTTTTTTGTTTACCATTTATAAAATCAAGTTCTCAAGCTTAGTCGCCTCTTTTATTGCCCAAGCACCGGACCCGTCACAAGTTCACACTTAATATCTACATAACCGCAATAAGATCTTCAAAACTACAAGCTACCGTTAAAGAATCCATTTGAAGTATGTTGATTTACAATTTACCCAGCGAATCCGTCTCATTTTTTATTCAGCTTATTCTGACTTTTGTGTTCAAAAATTTATTCTTGTGGCCATTTTCATCATACTACCAAATCGTTAGTATCTTAGGTACGATCTTAAGCCAATTTGTACGCACTCTAAGACTGACCAAAATCCAACATATACATTTTCACCCTGAGATGGGACAGTATCTCTATCCAATTAAGAGGACGCACACACCAAAAATTTCTTTTATATCTTTAACTTTCAATTTCTTTTATATATACAAAATTCTCATCTTTATCGAAAGTTTCAATATTTGTAACAATATTTCTTTCGGCTGTTTGGGTGGATGCCTGAACGTTGATGAGAATACGCTCTGCAGTAGCGAAAAATAACAAGTGCTTGAAAATTTCATCAGCCCTGTTAGGTCCTGGGTAGATCAGTGGTTAGAGCAGTCGCCCGAATTGCGAAAGGTCGTGGGTTCGATTCCCATCTCAGGGTGCCAGGGACCAAGTGGATTTTTTAAGCATTTTGTATTAAGAATAGTATTTTTTAGGTTCAAATAATTAGAGAAGACATAATCTGTTTTCCATACCTTACCTTTCCTCCCTCCAAATACGAGCGCCCTAGGCAGTTGCCTAGTTATGGACGACCCAGTCCATGTAAAATTATAGTGAGCTTTTTTCTTGTCTGAGTTTGTTTAGCCAGTTCTTCCCTCTCAGAACTTCTAAATTTGGAACTGGTGGTAGTTAATAGTTGTAATGGGTAAAGAAGCAACCATTAAATTATGTATTTAAAGTATTTTGTAAAGACTTTATTTTATATGATTTGATTTAATTAGTTTTTTATATATTTTAATGAAAAACCTTAGCCTAAGTGAACATATACCCATAAAGAATTCGAAAAGTTTTATTTAATGAGGAATGAAATGGGCAAATATTAATATTCTTTATAAGAAACAAGTATACCTAATAGGAACAATAAGATAGCCAGACAGATTTTTTACTTTAAGCCCCCTCTTAAAAGAGACACTGCAAAATCAGGCGTTCCCTACCATAATTCGCTACGTAGAATTTGACTTCCAAATTTTTCGACGTCTCAACATGATCAGCCTAAGATAATGTGACTACAAGAGATGTGTGATAATTTAGTTTTGGTCACCCATCCTGTAAATTGCAGTTGGAAAAGACCTTCAAATTCCACAATCGTAAAAATCATCACACTGTTCAGTGACCGAACCTCCTCATTTAATGTCATTGCGTGTAATGCAAAATTAACAGACAACAATCTTTTTAGTTCATGACAGTGCCTTATTGAATTTAATAGAGTTGCATCACGGTATGATTTAGCGATAATAAACGGCAAACCGAACAAATGTAATTGGGTTACTACTTACTTAATTACTCGTACATCTCATTGTAAGAGTATTTATTGCATAATGAACTGTGAATAGGTATACCTTTAATGTAATGGCGTGATAACACGTTAGGTTTTTGCCGTCGTCAGCTATAAATTAAATTTGAAAGTATAAAAAAAAATATTTAAAAATCTCTATCAATAATAAATAATGATTAAATTTTAAGATTTTTTTTTTATTTATATTTCAATAATTAGGTAGCTCTGTGGCATAGTGGATAAGTCACCGCGATCTTTGAAAACGAGCGACACTGCGACATTGTCGCAGACAGCCGAGTAGGTCTGCAGCCAGTTCGGCAGTCTTACATAAATAAAAAAATTACACTAGGAGAAACAGAATTTTATTTTCAGGTTTTTATAATCTGTCGCCGACAGATCAAAACCCTTCTGCTATGGGGTTGTTAAGTAACTTTCGCAACGGTAGGTCACGCGATGGGTGACCTAAAAATTACTATTGCGCTGACTAGCGCTTCGGAAGGCACGTTAAGCCCTTGGTGCGGGGAGCACTGTCAATCATTAATACCCTCCAATCCGCAATCCAACAGCGTGAATGGTTATGCGTGACACCGATGTCAATGTAAGTATCTTGACATCGATGTAAAGTTAATGTGAGTATCGTAACACCGATGTAAATTCAGTTCGTGTGTCCTGACATCGAATTGATGTTTACACTTCTCTAGATGTTACCTACAAAATGGGGTGTCCTTAACTTCTCATCACATCGATGTCTTGTCACTGTCATTGGTGTCACGATACTTAACTCAATGTTGCGACACTCATATTGATGCCATTAAGGTGTCACGACACTCGCATTGACGTCAGATCATGGTCATAACACTCAACTCGATTTCACGACACTCACATTCACGACACATTGGTCTCACGATACTTACATTGAAATCACACCAGTGTGACGACACTTTACTCGACGTCACGGTACACACGTTGATGTCACTTGGGTGTTGCGATACTCACATTCAAGTTGCATCAATTTCGCAACACTTCACTGACGTCACGGCGGTGTCACGACAGTCCTCTCGATGTCACAACACTCACATTCACGCCTCATAGGTGTCACGAAACTCAACTCGATATGAGTTCTCAAAATGACTTCATGTCAGTATCACGACACTCGCATTGATATCAAATCAGTGTCACCACTCTCAACTCTATGTCACGACAGTCACATTGACGTCAGTTCATAAGCGCGACACTTACATTGACGCCTCATAGTTGACACGAAGTTTCGTGTCACGACACTCTCGTTGAGTCACATCAGTGTCGCGACACCCAACTCGATATTACGACACTCAAATACCTATACGTCACACATATCGAAATCAGTACCTCAGACTGATTTCAGTTCAGTGTCACGACACTCACATTGACGTCACGTCAGCGTCACGACACTCACATTGACATCACATCAATGACACTCATATGGACGAAATATAAGAGACGCGACACTTACATTGACGTCGCATCAGTGTCACGACACTTATATGGCAGTCGCATGGATGTCACGACACTCACTTTGATGTCACATCAATATTACGACTCACACTGACGTCACTTCTGTGTCACGATATTCACATTGACGTATTTTAGGTGTCACGACACTCAACTCGACGTCACTACACTCACATTGACGTCAGTTTGATGTCACGACACTCACAATGACGTCACATCACTTCAGTGTCACGACACTCTACTCGATGTAATGACACCCTAACGTCGCAGACATTACTCCGATCTCACGACACTTACATTGACAACTTATCGGTGTCACGACATTAGACCCCTGAAAATCAGAACGTCACGCGCAAATCGGGTCACCTGGCAACTCTAGTCTATATAACCATCCATAAGGAAAGCTTGAGCCCCTGCAGGTAGGACATAAAAAGGGTATTTTAAGTTATTTATTAACTTTAAACACCCTATTTAGTTAAATAAAATTTAAAAAATCACCCGAAATGGGACCGAGTCCTCTCATTCTGTAGCACACAGGAGCTCCAGATAATAAATTCTTGGTCCCCCAATCTATGACCTGTTCTGACCTGTTCTGTCCTGACCCTTGTGATAACTCCGCTAGCAAACCTTACGCGCTAACCACTACATCATAAGTTCATTATTCACATGAAAGCTAGAGAGGAAATCTTAACAAATGTGATAATTCGTACAATAGTATGCAAATAGGTATTTCATTGTTAAATGCAAACAAAATGACTAGTTGCACACGTATCATTTGCAATAAACAATGCCTGATACACACAGAGATTATTAACTCGTTTTGTATTGTTATCCAGTATTTGGTGCATAAAAGAACCTTTTTTGTAACTACTCTGTTAATTGTTTTCATTGAATGTAAACCTTTTTTATATGTAAAGTGATAGCTCGGTGCAGTGACACGTTATACCATAACTACGTCATTATACCAGTAATTAAAAAAAACGTTTTATTTTATAGTTTATATTTACTAATATAATTATGGCGTGTGAATATCATTTCAATTGGCAGGTATAATTACAGACAGAACAGAATCGATGCTTCAGTCGTATGGGGTGTTTTAGTTTTCGTTGCATATAAATATAATCTTGGCCGTTGAAATTGGTATTTTAATAAAAATTGGTATTTTAATTATGTAAACGTAATAAAACCCTTCAATGACATCACTTGAACAGTTACAAATTCATTATTTAATTTAGAAACAGAAAAGCTGCAATTTCTAAGTTTTATCCCGAGTTTTTGGGTCTCTGTAGATTTATTTATTTTAACACTTCATGCACAGAGTACATTGGCAGACTTAATGTCTTAGGCATTTTCGACCAGTCAACCGGTTGCGTGCTATGGATATGAAAGGTGGTAGATTGCACAATTAAGGTGAAGATATAGATAAGGGAAATCAAACCTATAATTAAATACATTAATAAACAATACATATAATTTACACATATACGTTCATAACTACATATATATTACTATTATAATATATAATGTACATTTTTAATATAAACGACTAACGGTGTAAAAAAATTGCCTGTTCCAACAGAAAGCTGCGCAGTTTTGTTTTTAAATGTAAATTTGGTGATGGACATTCTTATGTCCAACGGAAGTTCCGCAACAGAATCGATTAAACTAAGAACGAAGAGTGAATTCATGAACCAATAACGTTAATCGAGTCAAAAAATTTTTGAAACACCCTGAACTAAAAAAATATATACCTAAGCAACTTGCCCATGTGGTCCTTAGCGAATGGTCTATAGGGATAAAAAGTAGCCTGTATATTATCCAGTGTGACGCTGACGAACTCAAGAACGTTTTGTCTACGCCAAAACGTCTCTTTTCGCAGGTGCACCCAACACGATATCTCACTTTCGACTCGAGAAAATGACATTTGGTGTTGACAAAACATTTTTCGAGTTTGTTACGTTTTAGGCTGAGAATTATCGAAATGCGTTCAGTAATTTTTGTGCGAAAGAGTAAGAGACATTCTATCACGTTAATACTATTAGTAGGATTTATATTACAAATAAATAATTGACATTTCTATTGTTACAGATAAGTACAAAGCTCTGAGTTACAGTGCAATATTCAACAGTACGAGTTACGCTCAACTGCGAAATCCGTCGAGGCCATACGACATACCGTCTCTGCATAGTTTTAGTAATAACCACATAGATAATAGCCACAGCTTCGAAGAAGAGTTCGCCAACGAATTGGATTATCGAGATAATGAGAACGATAAAAACAATGAAGTGCCTCTCTTAGTTGGTTTCGCGAGGGACCCATTCAGATATTCTGTTCCGGAAAAGGACTACTTGAACGGAGTTCGGTAAGAATTATTTCTTTTATACATAACCACTTGTAATTATCTTCGTATTTCATTGTTACAGCGTGTATCTATATATTGTTAAAGCCACCAATGCGTCAGTTATTATAAATAAATTAATTAATATCTAAAATCTTAAGAGGTGCAATTGATTGTCCCCAATTACTGAGTGAAATATAATTAAAATACCTGAAACCCTAATCTTTAAAACTTATGTAATTTAATATGCAATGTCTTAAGGAACATGTCATGTGTAAACAAAAACCAGTGAAAAGCCAATTGTTTTATTTATAAATGTATTAATACTTTTTAACTTGCAATTTTTAAATAATGTTTTCAATTCTCAATACCATAAATGCTGTAGACACATTCTAATATAAGTTAAAAAAAAACTTTTTGGCGTTTTAAACAGTAAAACAGTAAAGCCGTGGGAGAGCCACACTTCGGCATGAATGGGTCGGCTCGACCGGAGTGATACCACGGCCTCACAGAAAACCGACGTGAAGCAACGTTTGCGTTGTGTTTCGTCGTGTGAGTGAGGGTACCGGAGCCCCAACCCCTCTCTATTCCCTTCCCTCCACCCCTCAACCCTTCCCTCCCTATGATCATATTCGTCCCTCAAAGGCCGGCAGCACGCTTGTAGCCCCTCTAGTGTTGCAGGTGTCCATGGGCGACGGTAATCACTTACCATCAGGTGATCCGTCTGCTCGTCTGCCCTCTATCCCATAAAAAATAAAATAAAAAATAAACGCTGAATTTTCACACAGATTTTATTCCAGTAATCAACTTTATTTAGAAAGTTAGTTTAAAACTGCAAACATGTTTCTAATATCTTAACTCTATGAGTTATAAGGGCTGACAAGTAAAAATTATTTCAGCTTTATTACTATTTTCCATTTTTTTGTCAAATATTGACGTTTTATGAGTTTTTCTGGTAATTTGTGGCAGTAAAAAATATTACTAATTAAAATAACGAAGTAATATCCAGGTAAATTTTTTTCATCTAAGTTGCGATGACCCTAGTTCGCTTTGTTCAAATTTATTCTTCATCGAATTTGGCTGGAATTTATAAAATACCTTCTATAGCCCTATATCTTCCAGCTCCAACATAAATAAGATTCATCATCACCATCAGCCCTTTTACGTCCCCACTGCAGGGACTCAGGCCTTCCTTATGGATGGTTAAGGAGGATGGGCCATGACCCTCCACGCTGACCCAATGCGGATTGGAGGGTATTAACGACTGTAAATGCAGCCAGGACCAACGGCTTAACGTGCCTTCCGAAGCACGGAGTAGCTCGAGATAATATTTTTTGGTCACCCATCCCGTGACCGACCCTTGCGAAAGTTGCTTAACGACTACGATCGCGGGCCGCGGCGCTTATCCACTACGCCACCGAGCTAGCAAGATTAATTTCTTATTAATATTGCATTGTCATCCAGATTAAAAAAGGCACGAAAATGTTCAGCTCAATCGAAACTATTTACAAACAAAAAGAAACTAAACGAAAATTTGTAAATACGTATACAAATTCTTGGCCCAAGCAAATATTAAAATTGCACAAAATTACGTGATATTTGATTAGCAATTTCTAAAATCATACAATTAATAAATTAGTTACTCTATTTTTTTAGGATTATTAATTTCAAATGTAACTCCATTTATCATGTTATAACTTATCTCTACTAGAATAGTTTTGGAAGCTCAACTTAACAAAAACATTTATTTAATTTTGTATTAATATCATTGGAAACTAATGAGTATGTCAATGTATTAAAATTGAAATATTTTATAAGGAACCTATATTTTTTTATTTAATGACCGTCAACATATCAAACACATTACTACATCTAAATGCAAAAAATTAATAAATCTAGACACAGACCAGAGACGTATAGAAAAGCCAATTTTGTATTTTGACCCGGCGGCGGTGGCGCGTTAATCGAACATTGATCTGAAGTCCCCTCAGAAACGATTCGATGTACGAACCACCACCATGATCTTTGTTACATTATTTAATACTAGTGGCAGCTCCCTTCTAGCATCGTTCTTGTGCTATTTACAATGTTTTTCTGTGGTCTTATACAATAATTCATAGGTATTGTCAATGAGTTTTATAAAAATGAAAATGACTGGTCATTAGTTTATTGAAATATCCATTAATATTTAATGGGTATTTCAGTAAACTTTCATAAAATATTATTTTAAGTTTAAACTATTATGTATCACCATTATTAGATCGTGAAATAAAAACTCTGATCTCCTTTCTCTATTCGAATCCATCCATAATGTTTTTTTTTTCTTTTATAGGCACATCAATCCGCAATCCTATGGCAAGAATGAATATAGAGGAAAACGGGGCGTGGTCCACTTATACAACATGATGTACTGCGCTACAGGTTGCGAACCACTGGCTTACAAGGGCTACGGCTGCTACTGTGGCTTTCTGGGCTCCGGCAGGCCAACTGATGGTATTGACAGGTAGTTGTACATTGAAGTATTAGTTTATTTTAGCTAATACAAACGTTTGAAAATACAGTATTTGAACGGCTATAAAAATCGGATTCGAACTTTTCTAAAGAAGTGAATGAAAACAATTTTTTTTACTAAAACTTACTCATAAGAGAATCGAACATGGTTTTAGCTGATTTTTTTTGTATTTTTAATACCAAAGTATTCATGTTATTTTTGTTATTCAATATTATTATTATATTCCATCAATTTTGCATCCACAATGCTATACTTAAAAATATTCTTTATGTAAAATGCTTAAAAATGCACTTTGCCCCTGGTACTCTGAGATGGGACTCGAACCCACCACCTTTCCCAATCCGGGCGACTGCTCTCTCGCTCGCTCGCTAACTGCTCGCTCTGTGACCATTTATTTACGAAGTCAACATAAATTGAACAAAATATTATTATAGAAGTCTTAAAGAAGCTTTCAATAAGATTACGAAAATTTCAATAAAGTTTTTTATCATAGATATTATTTAGTGGAGCTCACAATCCTTCAGACATGGATTATAAAATCAGTTCATGAGTGAAGGATTGTGGGCTATACTTGTTATCAAGTTACAAACTTAATCTAAGGTTGTAAGGCTATGTATTCGTCATGAAAACTATTTGGATAAATAAGCCGTTTTGCAAATAAAAAAAAAAACAACATTTTAAGACATCATTAATGTAAAGCTCGGTCAAAAGAACAATAAGTCATGCAACGCCATTCAATATCGGTTTTTTTTTATTTCATTTTTAAACAATTAACCGACAGACAATAAACTACTATTTCATACAAAACATACCGAAAGTCACCTTGGATATTTAATATTGCTTAAATAACCTTGGAATCACACCTATTCATGGGAAACAAAAGTTTATTTCGTGAATGAATCTTTAAGGTTACACCACACAACGGGGGGGCGAAACGCCAGTAGGACTAGAATTTTAATTGTGTAGATAATTTTCTTCTTTATTATAATGGAAAATGATTCTACATGAACTCTTCTATGTTAACTTTTAAAGGGAAAAGATCATGTACAACTGAAACGATCAATATGTTTGCTCTACTAAAATAATGTAATTCAAATTTTGTTACTGATTCAATAAATTCAATTAAAAGTAAACAATGTTCTACAGTAAACGGTATTGATGAAGCAGATAATATTACCGAATTTGATTGTTTTTTTTCGAAATTTCTAACAACTTACTACTAGGACACTGCATCACTAACCACTCAGATGCAGTATCTGAGTGGTAAGTGAATTTTTACGTTAACGCGTATACTAGTATCACTATGTTCACTAGTGAGCGCATTAAGAATTTGTAAGGAATTTTGTAGTTCTTGGTAGTTGTCGCTAGGGGCGCTGTTCCTGATTCCATACTTTAATGTCAATGCGCTTACAATGTTAAAAAATTTATACTAAACGCTCAGAAAACCGTCTCGCTAATCGTGCAACCTCCAAGGTGAAATGACTGTTAATAGCTACGGAAAGCTGCAACGTACATCCCACATTATATGCTATAATATACGGGGACGACGTCACAGGACAACAACTAATTATTTAAAAAAGCAAAAGAATAATCATCAAAATTTAAAACTAGTACCGTGTCAATAAAAAACAATGAAATCGTCATACTTAAACGTTTCTTTTACAGATGCTGCAAGATGCACGACGAATGCTATGAGAATATCTACTGTCCTTTTTTCACGGTGTACTTCCAGCCTTACTATTGGAAGTGCTACCGTGGCCAGCCGCTATGTGCCATCGAGAACTACCACACTCAGCACCAGTTCATCAACGGCTGCGCTGGCAGACTGTGCGAGTGCGACAGAAGATTCGCCATGTGCGTCAAGAAATACTCCTGTCCTAGAAGCAGAGCTCTATGCAAGTCCTCGCCCATAAGACTGTTACAGAACTTACTCATGTTCAGGTGACGAAGTGTGAGCAGAAAAAGAGATTCATTCTCTGCAAAGGTACCGCCTAAATATCTCGCTTTAACTGTTGTCATATGAAATTGTTTTTTTTTTATTTAATCATTGGTTTTAGTTGTAGTTAGTTTGGGAATTTAGACAAACAACGATATTCCGAAAAGTGAAATATACTAAAATGTTTAATTAAATATATAAACAACAATTGTTATACAGGAATATAACATATTCATTGATTAAATTTCATAGCTATGGCTAGAGTTATAGCGAGAGTTATATTTTGGTTAGATAGCCTAGCCATATCACTTTACCTTGGTTTTTACAGTGTTATCAAAGATTATAAAAGTTACATGTAAAGTTAAATACACAAAAAAAACTGTAAAAAGTAATTATTTCCTAACATTTATTTATTTATTTTCCTCATAGGTTGCCTGGAAGAGATTGCTATCTAGAAATAATGCCGCCTTTTGCATAATATTTCTTTATTTCTCTCGCTGTGTAATTCTTGTTCTGTCCTGTGTTGTGTGCAATAAAGCATATTATTATTATTATTATAAACCTTAATTGGTTCTTACCTTAAATATGCGTATGTTATTCTATACATGTCATATTTTTCCTGGTTTAAAAATTATTTCTTGTATAGTAACTTTTGTCGATTGAAATATTAATGAGAAAGTATTAAAAAAGAACATTAGTCCCCGAAATCAAACTAGATGTCACTACGGTACTTTCTTGATTTCTCCATGACAACCCTTCCGGTTTTCTATCGTGTATAAAAGTAAATTAATTGTCAAACTTAATAAACAACTCATATTCTATTTGTACTTTTTCATATTTGTATTAATATCCAAGTTTCGAGCTTTGCAAATTTCGGTTTTTTAATATATTAGTTAAAAGGAACTGAAATTACTATCTTTGGTCCATTCGTTTCCTGCAAAAATCAAATTTTGGTAGAGTCGCCATCTAGGGATTTCTTTTTTTTTTTCTTAAAATACTTATTAGGATTCATTGATTAGGATCCGATGATTAAAATCACAGATATAATAATACTATACTCTTATAAACTGCGTGACGACTGAGAATATCAATATAAAATAATATAACAAAAAGATCACACAAAGAACAGGTGCAGTCACCCAAACCCACGCAGATTGCCGTCCTATAGCCCATTTGTAGACTCTTAAAGTTATTTTGTGAGCTAAATAAACCTCTGAAATTACACTCATGACTAGGAAGAGATGTTTCGTGCCTAATAGAAACAGATTAGAGACGATTTTATAAAAAACAGTGTTCTCTCTTATTGCAAAATTATCTTTTAAAATCATCCAGTGATCTCACTTTCCATCAAAAGTATTTTATTACCTGAAGAAGTCGATATTATTTAATATTTATTTGTCTTACCAGGATACTGTAAATAAGAAGGTTATTGCAACAAAAGTTATAATATGTATATGCGTTTATTTGTATCTTTAAATAATATTATGTATTTTATGTTGATATAAGTAGATGTTTAATAATATCTAAGAATAAGTCATACAATTTTTAAATAAGTAAACACAATAGAAAGTTCTTCGTTTCATTTATTACCTAGCAAACTTTAAAACGTCATGCCCATTTTCAATGGCACAGCTTTTAACAAAATTCCTATCTAAGTACGACAAAACCTGATTTCTATGTTATTACTAGCTCTCTGTCACCAACTTCGCTCGCGTGGTCCATGTAAACTTCATCCTCTTTTTCACCCCCTTAGGGATTGAATTTCTAAAAAGCCTTTTTTAGTGCTCACTTACATCATGAAAGGAAACCATGTACCAAATTTCAAGTTTCTTGGTACAGTAGTTTCTTCTGTGAGTTAATATAGGTATAAGTCAAGCAGGTTGGTCTTTTTACCCGACTACGGCGAAGCGAAAATGAAAGTTATGATTTTGGCCGGTATGTATGTATTTAAAAATGTTCAACTATATTAATTTTCAGGTGTCTTTAAAAATTTATCAAATGAAAAACAGATCATAACAAAACAAACAGTTAGTCGTATGACTACCCTGTCCTTTGGTCATCTCTATTATAATATTTTTAAACTCACACGATTTGTATACATTATAATTATATGCAATCGGGTCTTGTTCGTGCATTTTTTTATAAAAATGTATAAGTGTCGCGATCGCAAACAACCACGAACAATATTCTCGGATACCGTAAGTGCAGTGTGTCGCCACCTTAACGTATAATAAAATCAAGTGGAGGGTACATCTGAAAATCAATTAAAAACATTATTACCGGATTACCCTCAACTAAAATCAGAAGACGACACCCGCCAGTTCTCCAGTCTCCTCGTGACCACGGCTGCTGTAACGTAGCCGAAACGTCGAGGTAAATTAATTGTTTTAAAAAATGCACGAACAAGACCCGATTGCATATAATTATAATGTATACAAATCGTGTGAGTTTAAAAATATTATTAGCAAACCGATACGGGCCGGAAATTGCAAACAAAGTGCGCCATCTAGAATCGTTACGGAAGAAAAAAGTGAGGTTAGAGACTTCATCAATTTTTCTAACAAAATGTCGTGATAACGGTTTGATACCTACGTGCGTTCGTATTAAGCCGCGTGTACACATAGCACATTCCAGTGACATTCTACGGAGCGCGAGTGTTCGTCTTCTTAAACAACTGATACGTAACGGTCATCGTGAGTTGGACAGTGTACAGCGTGCCCTTTATAAAGTGCATAGTGAGTGTGTGTCCGAGCTATCGTACAGTGATTTTGAGTTATGTGATCGCGTAACGTATCAGCAAGCAAGCAGAATTTTCGAGTTATCCACGCAAAAGCATGAACGTAAATTCGAAAAATTGCTGTTTCGTAGTGGAAGATCAAGGATCACTGGGGAGTCAGTTGATGACGTCATCAACTTATCGGATACTACACTTGACGGTGCCACTCGCAGTGTTTTAGCAAAGGGACTGAATTTTGCTACTACCCCGAAGAGGATACCGTATGAACATATCATCAGCAGTATAGAGGAGACAATAGTTCGTAATAAGGTGCCAACTGATGATGCCGACGCTTTGAGGCAAGATGTCGCTATCGTGTTACGTAAATCCAAAGTACCTAAGAGCAACGTCACGAGCGAAGAGCGTAGAGCTCTTAAGAACTTGAGAACTAATAAGGACCTTCTCGTTCTCAAGGCCGACAAAGGCAACGCTACCGTCGTGATAAATACTAGCGATTACGACTCCAAAATACTTGCTCTGTTGCAAGATGATAACATATATAAGCCGGTATCGTACGATCCAACTGCGAGAGTTACAAGGAGAATACGTGCTGTTATCAGGGATTATAAACACCTTTTCACCGAGGACATCTTTGAGAACCTATACAAGCCGAAGATAGTACAACCACCAAAATTATACGGATTGCCGAAAGTGCATAAGGCCAGCGTTCCACTGAGACCGATTGTGAGTCAGATTGACTCACCTACTTATTATTTGGCAAAACACGTTGCTTCCGTACTGCAACCCCTTGTGGGCACTACAACATCCTTTGTGAAGGACTCGCGTCATTTTGTACAGATCCTTGATGATACAAAACTGGATCCGGATGACGTAATGGTGAGTTTTGATGTTGAGTCGCTGTTCACCAAAGTTCCAGTTAAGGACTGTCTAGAGGTTGTTAGGATGAAACTTAGACAAAACGATATACCGGAAGGGTACATGGTTCTATTACGGAACTGTTTAGATGGCAGCTATCTCCTATATCGCGGCAATCATTACCTTCAAATTGATGGTGTCGCCATGGGTAGCCCCGTAGCGCCACTTTTGGCCAATATATGGATGGAACATGTCGAGTCATTGATAGATTACCAGTCACATGGGATCCGTATGTGGAAACGGTATGTAGACGATGTGTTCTGTATCCTGAAGGGCGACAAACCGGAGATTGAGCAGTTCCTTACACACGTCAATAATATCCATCCGAATCTCAAGTTCACCTATGAGTTAGAGAGTGACAAAACCTTACCCTTTCTGGACGTTAAAGTCATGGCGCAAGCTGATGGGTCCCTGAAACACACTGTCTACAGGAAACCAACACACACAGACAAGTACCTCCACGCTTCATCTCATCATCATCCTCAACACCTACGTTCTGTGGAGACAACTCTTATTAACAGGGCTAACGCATTATGTAATACTGACTTCTTAGCAGATGAGTTGTCCCATGTACAGGACGTGCTAAGGAAAAATGGATACAGCGCAAGGAGGTCATACCCTATCCGAAGGTGTAAGGAAAGACTTCCTAAGGTTCCCAGGCAACGGGCATTTTTAGGCTATGTTAAGGGGGTAACGGACAAAATTGGTTCCATTTTGAGGAAAAATTTTTCTATAGACACCATTTTTACTCCTTTATCAAAAATGTCACACCAATTGCGATCACCAAAGGATAGTATTCCTTACCAAAAACCTGGCGTTTATAAAATTGACTGCAGCTGCGGTAGTTCATATATCGGACAAACGAAGCGGACTATCGCCGAACGTGTAAGAGAACACATAGCAGCGGTCAAAAATCGTCAAGTGGAGAAGTCCGCGATTGCAGAGCACTTATTATCATCAGGATCAAACCACTGGATCGAGTTACATACACCTCATGTCCTTTCCACTGAACGACATTACTATCCAAGGATTGTTCGTGAAGCGGTTGAAATCAAAAAACACAACAATTTCAACCGGGAAAGTGGATATAAACTCTCACCAACGTGGAATCCGGTTATAAAAATGTATAAGTGTCGCGATCGCAAACAACCACGAACAATATTCTCGGATACCGTAAGTGCAGTGTGTCGCCACCTTAACGTATAATAAAATCAAGTGGAGGGTACATCTGAAAATCAATTAAAAACATTATTACCGGATTACCCTCAACTAAAATCAGAAGACGACACCCGCCAGTTCTCCAGTCTCCTCGTGACCACGGCTGCTGTAACGTAGCCGAAACGTCGAGGTAAATTAA